GTGTTGTTGGCTGAAACAGAAACTGAAGAGCCTGATAACATTAGCTTATCTTCTTCAGAAAATTTTGTAACTTTGCTACCTTTTGATCATTAAGGAAGTATCTCTGAGTCCACAAGGGGCAAGATCTAAGCAAGTGGACAGTAACACGAGCTGAGAGAAATACTACTTCTGTTCTTTCTTTATCTCTGCTTACATAACATCAAAATATGAATCAAAGCTAAAAAAGGCCCACCTCTCCTGCTCCCAAAGGAAAAAAACCCCATCAAAACCCAAATGCAAACTCAAACAGCCCACCACAGGAAACAGCATGAATAGCTAGCTGGAAACCTTTGAAGAAAACATTGCTCCTCTGCAGTGTATGGTGAGCACTCAAAGCAGAGATTTCTAAAAATATCCTGGGTTGGACATTCAAGTATTCCTGTCCATAAGAAACAAGGCTGTAAAAATATACAGTGTAACATTCACAGCAAAAGGAGGGACAGTTGATCCACCCACTTATCCCAGGAGCAGAGAGGAAGATCCCTCCCTCTAAATAACGTATTGTGAAATGCCCCTACATCACAACTAGTGACATTTCTAGTTCTTGATGTGGAAGAATTCAACTAAGAGACATTACACCCAAGGCTATTTTGGTGCATGTAACTGTGAGCAGGAATGAGCTCTAGCACTTTCTGGACATTGGGTGTCAGTCTGTCATTAATATTACAGCTAAGCATGTCTGAGATTTAAAAAAAAAAGTTAAGTGCACCACAAACACTGTGAATTACATATAAATTGTCTGTTATAGTCTGACTACAATTCCACATCAACTTGAAATAGTTGGTTAGGAAACATCTATAAATTATATGTTACTGGAAAAAAAAATCTATATATTCCAGTACAAGAGACCACCTACAAAAATAGAGGCAAAACCATTTCCAAGATAGGATTAAAATAGGAGCTGAGAAAAAATTAATTAAGAAAGAATACAACATACACAGTACTGAAAGTACTTCACCCTTGTAAAGAGTTTAGAAATGGGAAACAGACAGAATGAGCCCATTTAAGATGAGCATCAACCTTAAGCATCAGCTTGCAGCTTGCCTGCATCCCCATCAGTGATGTATATTCTCTCATATAATGCCATCTATTGACCTGCTGCCACTTCCCAGTTTCTTAGCATTGGCTCCCTCTCCCTACTGTGTGTCTATTAATCAGATCTATATGGTAGAAAGAGGGGATGGACTGTGAAGAAGACAGGATATAAGAGATGAAATTACAGCAAAGAAAAAAGCCAGCACTTGGCCCACCAATTCATTGTAACATTGAAGTGCATGCTCTACTCCTCTGTTCCATGATACACACAGCTGTTAATGAATATTGCCCTTGTATTCTCTCTCTCATAAATGCACAGAAGAAATCATGCTCTACCTGTGTCAGCTCTTGCTACAGGCCTCAGGATCCGGGTTTGGAGCCTCTCTGACTTGGGGTACTTCTGAAGAGGAATTCCCTCTTTCTTGTCTCTGCCTCAGTTTGTGTGCCAGGGAAATCAGGCTATGGCTTCTTGCAGGATGGCTGCTTTCTCATGTTGCTTAGAAACAATACTGCTAAGCTGAGAGAAATTAAAAGGAAAAAAAGCAGCAAATCAAAACCACCACAGAGAAGAGGTTAAACCTCCAGCTTGCATTATCATTTTCAAGCTAGATGATGCTAATACACTTCCAGGCATTGAGTTTTGCTGCTGAGCCTCTAGCGGTTGGTTGGAAACCTAGCAGACTTGCTAATAAGGGAGGCAGAGACTATTCACTGAGTTTTCTGGTGGATCTAATTACTTGTAAATGAAGCTACCAACTTCTACTACTGTTTCAGAATTCTACCAAATGGAACAATGAAAAACTAGAACTGATACCTCCCCAGAGCCCATCTAGGGTTCCATTTGCAGTGTTTGTGGCATATAGCAAGGATCCTGGCTACTTGTTCTTTCATCAATGTTATGTTTCTGCTTACAGTATTGGGAGAAATTTTAACAGTCAAGAAATCCCAACATGCAGTTCTAAACGCCACTGTTGTCCTTCCAATGGATGCAGGCTCATCTTTCATGGGATTGCTGATGGTAGCCAATCTATCATGATGGCTAGCAAGTCACTGAGAGGCTGTGGGGTTTTGTAGATAAGGGAGGTTTGCAGGCTGTAGTTCTGAATGAAAAAGCCATTCCCCTCCTTGGAAATGTACTTCTGTTAATAAATTATCTCCTAGTAAAAAATAGGAATCAGTTTATGAGACATGATCATAATGTTGTCTCTCTTTGTGATGGTCTAAGAAAACATACAAGGAAATGTATTAACATGAGACACAGATGTTCTCCAGGAAGAAATCTACTTAGCATTTATAGAATTTGTGCTGTGCTTTCTCTGTTCTTTCATTTGCCTTTCTCACTTATTCTATGGCAAAAGGAGCACCAAGCTTAGCACTTCCCCACTTTTCATCCCAGCTGAGGAGCTTGTAATTAAGTTGGATTTGATTTCAGAGAGCGTTCTCCATGCAGGCATCGTGGCAAACATATCAAAAATAGAGCTGCTGCTTGTTTGCTCTGAGAAACACAGATCTACTGCCTGCCAGGCATAACTCCCCCAGTTAACACCCACCCAGGGCCTATCTGCTGCTATGGCCAGGCAAGAGGGAAAAGTGACCTTCACAAAGTGAACACAGCCGTGCCAGGACTGACCCAACGTCCTGCTAACCCAACCCCTCTCCTGTTATGTGGCCTTAAAAGTGATACCCTGATGAAGAAAGGGACTTTCCTGAAATGAGTCTGGTCCCTAGTCCTTGGGTGAGCTCATCCCTGCCATTTCCCCCAAAGTAAGAAATGCTTCTGTATCATTTCAAGGTGGGGAAAGCCACTGTGTTTGTTCTCTTGCCCAGTAAAAATAAATAACATTCACTAGTGGATGCCCATGGAAGAGATGGGGGAGCTGTGCCAGCAGGCATCAAGCTGTGTCAGTGTATTTCTCTGTTCTCCAATTCAGGACCTTCTTGAGCAAAAAGTGTTGCCTTGGCCATTAATAGCTCTTGCTTGTTTTTAACTTCTCCAAATTTGTCCAATCACTTTCAGAATAAGTGAAATTGAAATTTTTAGAAATGACACCAGCAACATCTCCTGGCAAAGATTTACACTGTTTCAATAGAGCTGTGTGGGAAAGGGTCTCTGATTTTAAGAAGCCAACTGTTAATTTAATTTACTGACCAGTATTCTTAATAAACTTAGAAGAGAAAATTTAGGCCCCCAAACTGTGGAATTTGTCACACATGGATCATACAGTGTACCTTAGAGGACACTTACATCTTATTCCCATACCCATAGCACTAGCATTTAATGGCAGTCTGTCTCCCTAGAGCAAGAAACAAAGCTGCAGTTCTGTGTGCCTGCAGAATTGTTACCCATTGCACATCTAATTTTCAGGATAGGTATGGAGAGTGTTTTGTCAATCTGCTACTTAATTAGGTTGGAATTAATAAATATATTCAACAATTGCCATTATCTAATGCTCATCTGCTATGTATTAACAAATACCTCATAAAATAGGAGTAGGGTTTAGGACTCTTGCAAAGGGCTACCTTTGTCTGTGGCAGAGGTATGATGTTCAGGTTTTAGAAACATAAATTACTTATCAGTAGAACTGCCTTGCTAAGCTTTAGAGCTTGAAATGTTTCAATAATCTCAGCTCCAGAAGGACGTTAACAAAGTTTGGGAGAAGGATGTACTAGTGATAGTGGAAACAAAGAATGCAGAATTTGCAAACCGCAAGGACATTTGGCAGAACTCCCAAGATAAGGAAGAAACTAACAAAACCCACTCAGTAACTGGGCTGAAGTCAGCCCCAAGTTGGTAGAAGGTAATTCTGGCAAGGGGAGATTGCGACCACAAAACTCACCAACTCAAAAGAAGGGAGACTGAGCACATAGACTATAATAGTAGATAGAATTCTAATTAATCAGAGAACTATGTAACTTGTAGCCAATGAATATTAATGCCTTTGTTTACTAAAATGTATGAATAGTGATGGTTTTTGGTAGTCATGCTGTTTTAGTGGATTTGACACCCAGCACTCTTTTCTGTGCAGAATTGTACAAATCAAATACCTCACCTCTCTGTGGGGATGGGCCTCTTGAGCACCAGGTAAAAGAACCCATTTTGGGAAAACAGACATGTTTTCAGAAGCTTTACTCCCATGGTACCTCCACTGTAAATTGATTTTCAAAATATTTGTCTGCTTTTCCTGTATGTGTCATCTCCTTAAAATATTCAGCACACATAATGTCAACTTCTTGAAGGCAAATTCAAGGGTGTCTGGAAATCAATGTATTAACTTGGGCAGAAGTGTGAAGTGCGTAGGAATAAAAACAGTTCCTTTTAACGGTCACGTTTAACTGTCTTTGTCACGGCTGAAAACTACAAACTCCAATTTTTGGGTGGCGTATGTCCTTCAGAAGAACCCTCGGCCTTCTTTGAGGCACTCCAAAGAAGCGGGTTATCTCTGTGGGGCCGGGGCCGGTGGCGGCAGCAGCGCCTCAGCGTTGGCCGCTCCAAGCGGGAAGGGCAGCGGGGCCGCAGCATCCCCGTGCGGCCGGGGGAGCCCCGACGGCCCCGGCGACGGCCCCGGGCGGCACAGGCAGTTCATCCGGCCCCGGCGGCGGCCCCGGGCGGCACAGGGAGCCCCGCCCGCCCCGGCGGCGGCCCTGGGCAGCAGAGAGAGTTCATCCGGCTCCGGGGGGCGCGGGGCGCAGAGGAGACGCAGAGGAGGCGCCGCTCTCCGCCGCCGGCCCGGGGGCGGGGCGAGGGGCGGGCCGGCCGCGGCATTCGAAAGTCGCTTGGCGGGCCGGGCTTCCTCTTCGCCCTCGTCCTCCTCCGCCGGGGTCCGCGCGGGGCCGGGCCGGGCCGCGGCGCCGTTTCTTGGGGAAAGTGCGAGCCTTGGCCAGTGAGGGCTTGCGGAAGGGAAATACGGGTGCTGACCCTGCTCGGTGTCGCTCTCTGCAGCGATGGCAGCGCGGGAGGCCGCCGATATGTCTTTCTTCAGTCTGAACGACGTGAGGGAGCGGATGCGGGAGAAGAAAAAGGGTCCCTTGAGGACTGCGAAGTTGAATGCCTCGCTTGCATCGAAAATCAAAACGAAGATCATCAGTGAGTATATTTTGCGCAGCGGCGTGGACATATGCTGGCTGCTATGCCGGCTTATAACTGGGCCTTTGGCCGTGGCATCGGGAGTGGGCGGCAGTCCCTTACCTGAGCTCGTGTGCTGCTTCTCAGCTGCTTCTCTGCCCGCGGGTTCTGAGTGAATTCAGTGCCCTGCAGAGGAGTGTCAAGTGCCACGCAAAGTGCCCAAAGGTGTGCGAAGTATTTTAGTGTATATGCGATCCTCTGTGTTATCTAGGCCAACTGGCTTGTTTTTATGGGGGAAGTAATGCAAGGATAGAACAGGACATAATTTGGACTACCTTTAAAAACTCAGATATTTCCATTACTTTTATTTAATTGTTTTGAAATTGGGAAACAGGGGTCCAAATTTACTCAAGGGCAACTATAGAGGAAAACAGCTTTTTCTCCCATTTCTTGGATGATGATGAGGACTTACCTGTTGGTGACTTATTCAAAGCAAGGAGCGTATATTTTTAAACTTAACACTTCAACCATGCCATCATTCTTTAAGAATTGAAGCAGTAGCTTGGTGCCTGATTGTGACCCACTGAGGATGGAGAGGGTATCTGAAGTTGCATGTTATTATGGAAGGATACTGCTAATTTTGTGAGGGGGCTATTGAGTTGTAGAGATCTGAATGTGAGGAAGGCTGGTCTAGGGAAGAGAGAGAATTACGGTGATGGGAGAAGTGTGGGTAAGCCCTTGGACACTGATGATGTGTGATACTGCTCTGTCTCTCACAGACAACTCCTCCACTATGAAAGTCTCCCTAAAGCAGAACAATAAAGCACTGGCTCTGGCCCTCAATGCAGAGAAAGCCAACGCACAGCGGCTCACCCAGGAGAAGACCACCCTACAGAAGGAGGTGAAGCAGTGCCACTTCCAGAACGCTGTGCTGCGGCACAGGCTCTCCTTCCTGGTGAGGCACTCACCGTGGCTGCCATGGGGAGGGGTGGGAGGTAAGGTGAGCTGCACTAGCATCTCAGCTGTGGGAGGATTGAGCTGTTACTGTTGAATGTCTGGATTCTCAACATATCGAAAAGATTGCCATTCATTTGCTTATTTTTGTTTTCAAGCTGTGTTCTCCCCAGAACATGCCTCTGGCTAGTAGCATCCTTGTTGGAAGAGATGTTTTGATGTAATAGCTTTATGGCTTCTCTCTCTTTATTACCTCAATACAGAATAGTATGTTGAAAAAAATGGACAATCTTATGGCTGCAGTTAAGATGGCCGAGCTCTCTGAGGTAAACCATGGGAAACCTGAGCACACTGATTCGGGGAAGGGGGCTGTCTTTTTCTGTCTTTTGCTTTGTGTGGCCTGCTCATTTCAGTGTTGGATGCTTCACCTGTTTTTCTTTGCTTGCTTGAGTTATGCTGGCTACGTGCTGGCCAGTTTGGTGTTAAGGATTTCCAGGGTAACTCTTTGTGTAGGAAAACTACAGTTTTAAACTGTTTTCCTCTGGATTATTTGCTATATTGGGCAGTAGGCTTTTCTGTTCTGACAGGTTGTGTCTTCTTTTCAATTTCTTTTTTAAAGTATTGACATGGCAACTTGGGATAGGGAATAAGACGCTTTCTCTGTGTCCTGTCTCATGGGTGAATGGGAAAATACTTCTGCTTCCTAGTCTCAGATTATGTGAACTAGTTTAACTTCATTCTGCTGCAATTTGTTCCATAATTTATTCCATAACGTGAGAGGGTTACTGGCAATACTTTACATACTTTCTAGAGAAACTGAGCTTCTGCTGTTTCTTTGCAGGAGGCTGCACAAGGGATTTCAGGAACTTTAAGTCACTCTCCTATTTCTCTTCTTTCCAGTTCCATATAAAGTCTTCATCCTTGTCCAGTGACCAGAAGAGCATCATGACTGAAGATAGCTGGGCTGATGATATTGTAGATGGTCAGCTTCTGAGGTGGGCTTTAAAATGATACCACCAAGCTTGTCCTGAATTCCTATATGCTAAACTTCTTGTGTTTTATGTGTGTGCCTAGTTGCCAGTTTCATATGAGATAGCTTCTCTGAACCTCCACTGCTTGATGCTTTCCTTTATTCTGTCTTTTTTTTGCCACTTCTTTTCTTGTTTCTACTAATGCTGAGTCTATGCAAAAACGAGTCTTTTTACCTCCTTTCTCTGAGACTGTGTTACTTTTAGGCAGTTTTCTCTGTGTAGCTGCTGAGTACAGCAAGATTTGATTGAGCGAGTGAGTGCCATAGCTGGCTACTTTGATGTTTGTTACATATAAATGCTTACTAGTCACCTCCTTGTATGAGGTAAGCTTTCTGGAAAGATGGTCAGAGCATGATCTCTTAAAGTATATTTGAAGTCCTGTTTCTTCTCTGTGTAGTCTCTGAAGACAGGGCAGTCCTTGGAGCTGCCACACGTGGCCTGTAGTTAGTCTGCTGGATTCTGGGGCCTGTCATGTGTGAGAAACATGATCCATTCTGCTCTTCCTTCTCACCAGAGTTACACAGATACCGATGAGAGTGCCCATTTCCAAGCTGCATGATGCAAAGCAGCAAGCTGGCAGCTCCACAGCGCTACAAATATCCTCAGGACAACTTCAGAGACCTGCTTCTAATGAGGCCCTGAAAATTGTGCCTGTTGCCTCCAAAGATACTTTGCCACCACAGCATGATGAGATACCTCAGTTCCACCAGGAAGAGAATGGCAAGAAGGTGATTGAAGCAATGGCAACAGAGGGGACTTTTCATGACTCTCACATATTTGGAGGTAAATTTGCATCTCTTGTTGTTCTTCTGGTATGACTTTGTGTCTGTGCTCAGAAATGTGTAAATGCCATAGCTCCAGTTAGCTCTCAACCACAACTCCAGTAGCTCCTAATTATTGAACTGGTATTAACTACATGCTCCACTGGGGCTGCTCTTGCTGGAGTTATGTATATCCCAGAATCAGAGTCTTCAGAGGGATATGTGGTCTGTTTGCAGTAGATCAAGCTCAAAATCAGGCTTTTTGAGTAATAGGCACTGAACTTACATAAGACTTTTGGAGATGTCTGAAAGTGCAGAATCTGACTAGGTGCACCACTGTTTCTTGTGGATTTGCCATACAAATGATAACACTTATACAAATCAAGATCCCCTAACCAGACATAATATTATCCTAATATTGTGTCTGGTTAGGGGATCTTGATTTGGGCTGCCCCTCTGTTCAGAGAGAAGCCAGCTAAGCAAATCTGGTACACAGTAAGTTGAGGGAGTCTCTGTCTCAAAATCATGCTTTTTTATGCTCTGGATTTGTGGCAGTGTATGGAGCAAGGTTTTTGCTGGTAGGGAGAAAGTTGGCATTTGCCTGCTGCATTTCTCAGCCTTAAACATGATTTTTTTCTTTCCAACAGAGGTCTTGTGCAGCACTGAACAAAATCCCAACAATTTGCCAACTCTTGCCTTGGAAAGTCATACTCTTTCATATGAGGCTGATGAGATGGCAAAACATTTATTTGATCGTCTCTCACAAGGGCATGTTACTCAGAGGAGAAAGCGTTCCACCCTGTTTGCCACAAGCACTCCATCTTCTGCTCTGGATATCTTCCCACATGTCAGTTCCACTCAGGCAGCCTGGGGTGGTACTGCACAGGACAACAGCAGCTGCAGCAAGAACAACACACAGCAACAGCTGCCATCTCCCAGCCCCCTGGCTTCACCTGCTCCAACTGCTGTTGTTTCTCATAGAAACACTGTGGGTAAAGACACCTTTTGTGAGCAGCCACAGACAAAAGAAATGGGGTGTGGTGTTGAAACGGACCCTAGCTGTAGCCAAGTCCCTGAGTTTGTTCCTGTAAAGGTTAAAAGCAAAGGTAAGTGTAAAACCAGAGCGAAAGAGACTGTTAAAAAAGCAAGAACAGGAAAAAAGAAAACAACTGCAATTAAAAACAATGCAGAAAGTAGTCCCAAGAGATCTCAAGGTGAAGAGTATGCTCAAAATGCAAAGCTTCTTCAGCCAGAAGTTGCAACATGTTCTAGTGAGACTGAAGTCTGTGAGGTGGGGCAGAAGGTGTGTGAGGGGGCTTTTGACAGGAGGAATAGAGACTGTGGTGTGGAGCACCATTCCCACTCTCCTGATGGAGTCCAAGGCTTTGGAAGTACACATGTGGTGAATCCAGCACAGCTGCAGAGTCTGGAAAGTGCTGACTCGATGCAGCAGGTTAAGAAGGGAACCATCTTTGAGATGCAAAGTATGGAGAGCTTGCTAAAACCCCCAGTTCATACCTTCTCAAGTCATGAAGTTCCCTCAGGAGATTTCAGTATAGAGAATTCTACAAAATTCTCACGTGTGAGCAGAAAGAGCATCAGACAGAAAGCCAACAGAAAAACTAGAGTACTTGTGCAAAGGGATGATTCTGATGAGGAATATCTACCAAACATTGTGATAATACCAGAGTCCAAGGCTGAAGAACGGCCTAAAAGAAGTCAAACAATCAGGAAGGATACTGCCAGGAATAGCAATTGTGATCAGAGAAATGAAGTTCATGTTTTTAGGCCCTGCATAGATGTTCAAGGAGAAGCTAATGGGAGCACAAAGGATTTGCCAGGTAATGTAAAACAGCGCAGGGAAACGTATATTGTCCGTCCTTTGGATCTTGCAGGAAATTCGGGTTGTTTCCAGACAGAATCTGAAGGGAGTGAAAATCTACCTCCCAGGTCTGTTCCTGGGAGCAAAGTGAGCAAAATCCCCAGACCTGTTAAGAGCAATCAAAAGAGCAATAAAAACCAGACAGGGGACCTTCAAGGAAATGGGCAAGGTGAAGGTGACCACAACATGAATGCTTTGATGAAAGAAGCCTCTTGCAAACCCAGGCCTCAGAGGAAGAGGAGCAACCCTCAGCCTCCAGAGACTGATTCCCTGGCCAGAAAAAGTGATGGTGCCAAGGTTCTCATTGGGAGTTCCACAGAACTTGTGTCGAAGCAGACTGTCCTGATGGGGAACTTTTCCTGCATTAGCCATCTGCTGTCTGAGCCAGGTGATTTCCTGGAGGAGCAGCTACCTGAGATATCTCTTGCAGATAGTCTTGCAGACCTTTCACACAGTCTTGAATCCTCCCGTGTGAGCAGTTCTGCAGTTTTGTCTGTCAGCTCCAGACTTACAGAAGTAACAGTTTCCAAGAACTTAAGTACTGAGGGCAACAGAATGCCAGCAAAACCCCCTGTTTCGCTGAAAAACTCCCTGATATTTCAAGAAATGACTGCAGAGGAAATATCTGGGGAAAGAAACCAAGTCCAGTCAAGTTCTTGGAGCTCACCTTCACAGAAACCTGGTAGGTAGTAAGATGGGGAAGCTACCTGTGTTTGGAGATGAGGGCAAAACTCCATGCAGCAAGTACTTATATTTTCCTTCCTCTCGTCTCTTTTTTCAGAGTTAAAGGTCAGTCTCCAGTACACCATTTATGCTTCCACTTGTGCTGCCCTGTCCTTTCTGTGGCTACATTTGCTTCTAGTTTATCAGCATTTCTATAAGAATTTCTGTTCACTTGTCCATGTGTAGATATTGGGACAAGACTAGCAGCATGTGCTGAGTCTTGCTTTACCACTCTTGTTATCTACATGGCATACCTATTAATTTAGACAATCAAGTGTTTAAGCACTTCAAAATCTAACTTGATGCTGACCCTGCCTACTAGGGTCAGTCAGTACTATTGGGGCACAAAACAACAACAAGGTGGAAAATTTTTGGTTCAGAATTGTTAGTGCTGCAAGGCACTTCTAAGGTGATATCATCACTGGAAATTAACCAGGACTCAACCTAAATTATTTTGGTTGTGGGTTTATTTTTTGTTCGTTTGTTTGTTTTTTAAAAGGATGTGGAGGGTGCATCCCTGGGCTGGTACTACAATAGTTAAGCTGATAGTTTTGGGAAGTTTGCTGTTAATGGATGCTCTGTAAAAAGAGTAGTCTAGTGGGGTTTTTCTTTCTGTAGCTGTTGACAAACAGCCTGTTACAACTGGAGTGGGCTGTACTTTGTAGAGAGGGAGGAAGTTTGTTCTCCTGCCCTCCTCCTTTTGGCTGTCTCCACTTGGGAAGGTGCATGAGCCCTGGTCCTGTGTCTTGCTGGAAGTCAGTAGGTTGCTGGTAGGTTGTTTGTGTGCTATAAGCTTGCTGTCTTCTCCAGGCTGTAAGCTCCTGAGCATTGCAGCTATCAAATAGAGTTTTTATATCATTTTCTACTACTACTATCTACCCATGATACTATCAGTACTAGTGATTTTTTTTCGTTGAGGGACCTAGTTTGATTTATGAGCTGACTTTTGAGGAGCAGGTCTGATATTTTTGGATTATAATGGTCTCCTGAGTTTAGGGGCAATATGCTTAGATTCCAGACTGTGCATGTTCAGAGAAACCTGCTAATGCAACTCTTTTCTGTTTGTCAGCTGTTATTTTTTAGGATATCTGGAAATAGTTTGGAATCACTTTGATCAAACCATGTGAGTGTCTCCCTTTGCAGATACCAGGCCACTACAGGACTTGAACAATGCCAGGGTTGTGTCTCAGTCCAGCTCAGAGGAAGCATCAGGGCGCTCATCTAGGCGGCAACGGAAGCCAACCTGCTACAAAGAGCCATCAATCAGCAGGTTGGGCTTTAAACTCTTCATTCCAAAGACTGTTCCCATGCTGCAACCCCTGCTCTGCTCTCATACACTAACTCTCCAGGGCTGGGCCTTCTCTTGCTTTGCTTGTTCAAAGTTCTTACCCTTTGTGTTCTGTGACCCTCCTCTTTTACCACTGTGTGGTTATCCAAAATTCTGCATCAGTACAAATGGATTAAAATGGTTTAAGCTTCTGGTAACAAGCTACCAAAGATGTTATTTTACTTGTTGAAATGAGCACATCTCTTGGCAGACTGCATCTGTGGTACTCCAGTGCCAATGAGGCAGTAGCACAAGGATAAAAGACAGGTTAAAGACAGCCCAGCAAAAGCCCTGATTTCATTTACATTCTGTGATGACTAAAATTTTAGACACCTGAGTAATACTTTCCCCCTGAGAGCATCCTGTATCTATATTCACTAGCAGATATACCTAAATAAATAGCAGCATCTTTTCCCTAGGAAGCTGTAGATTCAGTACATCCTCTATTGCACAGAGTCATGTATTCCTAAAATGACAGCTTCATAGTTATATAATGTTTCTGGGTGTGTTTTTCCCTGCAAAGTGTCCCAGTTTGAACTTTCTGTGAAGCTGGTTATATTGCACCAGAAAGTACTCCATTGGACAAGAAACAAACTGTACCACTTCATCATCTTATGGGGAAGAACTGCACTAAAATTAGGGACTTCAGGGACTAAAATCATACATGAATTCAAGGAATACTTGATGGTTCAATGTAACCCTTTTGTTTCTGCAGGAAACTGAGGCAGGGTGACCCATTTACAGACACTGAGTTCCTCCACTCTTCTCTCTGCAAAAAAAAGCCAAAGCCTGTCAAAGCCAAGCGAATGACCAAGAAGATGAAAGAGAACAAAGAACAGCTTCCTGAAGGATCTCTCAGTGCCAAGGCAGGCAAGTTGGTAACAACAGAAAGGATTAGAATGGTGGTTGAAAGCAGCCCCCAGGCTCCTAGCAGCTCGTGCGTTTAGCCACAAGGCTATGGCTTTGAACACAGAGGCCCAAGCAAAGATGGAAGTGGCTGACCAGGCAGATGAACTATTCCAGCTAAGGCAACCCAAGGACCAATTGGACAAATTGAGCCTTGTGCCATGGATTTCTTCTGTTTTGAAATCTTTAGGACTTACGGAGTGGGGAAGGTGGTTAACACAAATTGATGGATGTCTGTTTTAATGATGGGCATGGCCCTTATGTGCTGTATGATTAGCTCCTAGCTATCTTGTGCTTTCTTCCTGTTCTCTGTCCCTGGCTGCCATGTTAAGCTCTCTGCAGCAGAAGATGAGCTCTACACCAACCAACATTAAGGCATACTTGAAACACAGGGTACTTAGGACCAGATCTAAACATGTCTTGTCTCAAACATTCTGAGTATTGCTACAGGAAGGGTGATCAGAGGAGAGGGTCGTGTGGGACAGAGCTGTTTAAAAACATCTCCCCTTTTCCTATCACTCCTTGCCCTTGTTAAAAAGTACCTCCTTCAGCCTTCTTGTAGCCCCTTGAGGTACTGCAAGGTGTGATAAGGTGTCCCTTGCACCTTCTGTTTTCCAGGCTGAACAACCTCAACTCTCTGTCTTCATAAGGGAGGTATTTCTGATCATCCCTCTGATCAGCCCTCTGATCATCTTTGTGTTCCCCCTCTGGTTTTGCTCCAACAGGTCCATATCCCTCTTAAACTGGGAATCACAGAGCTGGACAACAGTACTCCAGATGGGGTCAGTTGTGTTTCAGGAAATCCTTTACTCTTCCACTGCAGTACCCACTGGCTTCAAGCACTTGCTTTTTTTAGGGTCTGCTGTGCAACTTTGAAGATTATTGATTTTAAATGTTGAGAGAGTGGTGGGGAAAAGAAGGGATCACATAGTTGTAAAAGGGAAGGAAATGTGCCTGTTTGGAAGCAGGAAAAATGTTTCCTCTGTGGCAGAGCAGGGAGAGGGCTGCTCTTTTCTTCTGACCATACTTACTCCTTCTCCTTAGCACTTCAGCAACATCTGTCAGTTCATGAGGATAGGCTGGGTCTTGCTGTACTCTCTGTATTCAGAGGACTCCAGAAGATGGAAACTTCATTAGTAGAGGGAAAACAGTGTCATCAGCAGTCAGATAAATGCTACTATATAGCTTACATTTAAGCTGCACCATTAAGTTATTAAAACTAGGAAAAAAAGGCCTGAGATTCAAAAATGCCTTCTTATTTATTTGTTCCATTTTCTGAAAGTCACCAAGCTTTCTCTGGTATTCTGTAACTCTGGAAGCCAGGTAGGAGCTAGTCAATAACACTTATATATTGTATACACTTATATAACACTTGTTATAAGTGCTGTTGCATTAGAACCTGCCTGTATTGATCAACTGATGTCAGAAGCCAGGCCAGGAACTTAGATCTCCAAGTGTTCCCACTAATTGTTTTCATTGCCTCTGTGGGTCAGAAATGGGACTACTTCCAGCTGCACTTATGTGCATGTGCTAGTAACAGAATAGTAGATTGTATTCACTGACATTGAAGGTATGGAGCAGTTACAGAGCTGTGCTTCAAACACAGGGTAATAGGAGCTCCTTTAGTCTAACATTGGTGTTTCTAATCTATCCTAATCACCACCTCTAGCAGTCAGCTGGAGGGGGAGAGTTGATTCATGTGTAACCAGTTTGTTTGCTGAGCAGTGATGTATTAGTTTGTATTACTCCCAAAATAAAATTTCAATGCAAGTGGTATTTTCAAATTCTTGTACAGTACCTGATGCTTACCATGACACTACACATGACAGCTGTGCCTAGGCTAGAACAAATTGAAACTCTATTCTAAGAAGGGAGATACTTTTTGTTTATATCACATTCCAGCAGTCTGTCCCAGCCTGTACTGGACTGTACTGAAAGCTACTGGAGTCTCTCTCTGAGGCAGTTTCCCCATATTTGCTAATCACACAAAGGAAGGAGACACAAGGAATGTTAGTTGGCTTTTATTTTAGTTTGAATTAAAAATATTCCTTAAAAAAAAAAACCAACACACAACCATGGATGGAATAAGTTTTCACAGTCATGATATGACTTGCCGTAAGACAACAAGGGTAAGTAATAGCCCAGACAACTGGAGAAAAGTTTGCACCTTTATGAATTGTGGGGTGAGGGAAGAGGTTAACAGTTCCTATGCTTCACATCCAGTCAGAAGGAGCATAACTAAATGCATGGCCTGCATTTAGACACTGCAGCATGGCTTTGGTAGGCTCTTCGCCTATAAGGCTTGTTTCCAGCATTTACTAAGTGCTACTGAAATGCTACAGCCCTGACTGTAGCAATGGAACCAAATCCCTTGGTATCAGGACACTGTGCTCTGGTTGGCACTACAAGATAAATTCAGGAGGGCTGTGGTAGAGCTGGCATAGCCCTCTGAGCTCACTTATACTCACTGGGAAGTACTTGAGAGAGGAGGACGGTATTCATTTCTAAGGTCTGCTGCACAGTAGGTCACTGCTGGTTTGACCAGAGCTGTGACTCAAACTGGCCTTCAGACTTAGAGGAAGAGATAAACATAGATCAAAGTCACAGAGAAAAACCTCAGGTTTGCTGTGAACAAAATTAGGAATCCAGACCAATACTGAGCTTTTGTCAAACTCATCTGCTTAGGAAAAGTAGACTTCACCTAGCAGCTCAAAGGGTGTCAGAAAACATGATTTTCTAAAAGTTTAAAAAGTGTCTATGTTCATTTTTATCTAGTGTTTGTAAAGTTACACAACAAAGAACAATACAGACCCAGTTATGCAAGCAATAACAGAAAAGGCAGGTACACATTTTCTCCAATATCCTAAAGTTCCCATTAACTCTTGCAATTTTTTCTTTGATGAGGGCACTTGTATTTCTTCTCATTCCTTTAAAGTGTCTGGAGGAACTACTGCACTGGCTGCATCTACCAAGTACCCAAAAATTTATTTCTTGGTCCTTGACATTTTTCAGGCTGAATTTCAATTTCTGCTTCATGTAGTGCTTCCTATTATTGCTGCTGCTTCTCCCACCTTTTCATGGGAATCTCCTTCAATTAGAGTATCATCTATATATATATTAGTAGAGTTTCACATGTGGAGGGAGTGAGACTAAAAATTCAGCAAGATTGAGCAGTCATGGGTGAATGTTTGTACATTGGAAGGAGCCTATTAAAAAACTAAAACTGATGAGAGAACAACTGCTAAGAAAGCAAGAACAAGAAAAAAACAACTGCAATTAAAAACAATGCAGAAAGTAGTCCTGACAGATCTCAAGGTGAAGAGTGTGCTCAAAATGCAAAGCTTCTTCAGTCAAAAGTTGTAACACGTTCTAGTGAGACTGAAGTCTGTGAGATGGGGCAGAAGGTGTGTGAGGGGGCTTTTGACAGGAGGAATAGAGACTGTGGTGTGGAGCACCATTCCCACTGTCCTGATGGAGTCCAAGATCTTGACATAAATATGAGGTGAATCCAGCACAGCTGCAGAGTCTGGAAAGTGTTGACTCAATGCAGCAGGTTAAGAAGGGAGCTATCTTTGAGACACAAAATGGAGAGCTTGCTAAAACCCCCAGTTCATACCTTCTCAAGTCATGAAGTTCCCTTAGGTGATTCCAGTCTACAGAATTCACTTTTCTTGAGGAAAGAGACCTCCAGTGCCTGTGCTTTGCAAGAAGACTCAAGTGTGATCAGACAGAAAATCAAGAGAAAAATGAGTAATTGGGCAAAGAGATGATTCTGATAGGAAGTATCTACCAGTGTGATAATACCAGATGGCCAAAGCTGAAGAACAGCCTAAAAAGCACAACAAATGAGACAATGCCACTTACACTCTGATGTAAGTGGGAGACACTTTGTTAGGGCAGCTTGAGTGCAACCCATGCCTTAAGCTTTGGGCATAGAGGCCAGCTTCCGCTTCAAGTTTTCAGCAAGCTTGTCCATGAACTTAAAGGTGTTCAGGTAATCAGAGCGTGTGACACTGGCAGGGGGAAACAAAACAAGACAGGTATTAGTTGTATAGACTCAAATGAAGCAGAGGAAGACTATTCAAAGAACTTTATGTTTTGCCTCTAAAACCAAAAGACTTCTCTCCTGCTCATCAGGCTGGGGTTTTAGCCATAAGGCTCTGGGAAGAGGTAGCCAGGTGATATTTTACAGTTATGTAGGTCTTCTTCATTTATTAGGATCTGACCACCATAGCTAGACTGTCATACAAAACATGTACATCTTTGCAATTCCTTCTTTACTTTTTTCTCCCATTCATTTTGTGCAATAGCAGGGAGAGAGCAATCTGCACTAAGTTGTTTGGGTAAGGGATGTCTCATGTTTGTTTTACAGGACTGGGTACAAGGAGTCCTATGAGACAGACTCCTGTTCTTTACCATACTAAAAATAACATTCCAGCCAACGCTGTTCAGAGCCACCACGTAAAACAACCTTCTCTAGGCATAGTTGGTTATTTCAGACACTTACTTAGGCAGGCCTTTGATGCAGGCAGCAAGGTCCTTTGTCATGAAGCCAGATTCAATGGTCTCAATGCAGACTTCTTCCAGGGCAACTGCAAAGTTCCTGAGGCTAGTGTTGTTGTCCAGCTTAGCTCTGTGAGCAAGGCCTCTTGTCCATGCAAAGATGGAGGCTGAGAGAGAACACTGGGTTATTCTATCTTACTAGAACTTCCTGAAAGTTCCTCTAATCTGCTCTAATGACCCAATCATCATGTGGAACAATAATTGAATTTTTTAATACCAATAAAATGGAAAGCAGACTGAAAAAGAAGATACAAAATCTGGTATGGGAAAGAACACTTATCCTCATTTAGGTATCCTTTGCCTTTTGTGGAACTCGGGGAAAAAAAAAAAACCAAAGCAGACCTCAGAAATTACTCACTGCCTCCAGTAATCTCTTCTATGCATGTCATTTTATTTTCCTCCTGCCCAAGTCAGAAAGAATGCCAGGTGGTAGGACTCTGTAGTTACAGAGAATATTGTGACAGAAGGGTACAGTCCTTTTCCTA